TATTGTAATTTACGTAACGAGTGAAAGGGTCATTTCAAAAAGACATCAACGGGTGCGTAATTGTTATCACTTTGCACCATTAATATACCAGTATAAGTTGATCTCCGGTGCATTTGAAATAGGTTAACGTGATAAGAATAGAATTTACTTACCAATTAAAATTTATGCCATCTTTTTGATAACTGGATGTCTTAGCTGACTTGTCACACCATTTTACTGCACAGGAAGCCATTTGTAATGTATTTTGGATACAAAACTATTTTTAAATTGTCAAGAACTCGGACGTGCCTACGGATCACAAACTTGGTCGATACTGATGTCGTGATTCTTAGCTTCACTTCGTATGCTAGCTACAGCAAGTATGTGTTGCGCGCGTTTGTGGCCCTGTATGCGGAATCTATTAGGGGGTAATCTATGGCTTCGGTCTATATAGTTTGTGGCTTCGGTTCAGGCCAATGTGCGGACGAATTAATTAAAATGATTATTGAAGCGCAAACGGCTGCTGCGGTTTATTTATTCACAGCATACCACTATTTTTTATTTAATTTTCACTATTTTTAATATTTAATATTTTTAATATAAATTTTTAATATTTCTATATTATACACTAACGTTATACAGATAAGTAAACTATATAAACATTAACACACCTAATCATAGGTATAATTAACTAAGGCCTGGAAAATATTCGAAGCCTGTCTATGAAACTGTTGTAAAATTTTTATTAAACAAAACCTTTTTAAAAAGGGTTATTATATAATTATAGAATATATTTATTTATTTACACTTTCATGCACAAAGTAGTACATATGGCGAACTTAATAATAATAATAAATAATTTATTTCGTCAAACATTAAAGTTACATTATATGATCAGTGATCGAGTCCACCTAGTAAGCAAAATAATGCCTGTAACAGGTGACTTCGGTCTTCCATAGCTAAAAATTACAGTATTATTAACGAAATAAAGTAACTAATAGGGAATGATAAAGACAGTAAAAACATGATTTCCATTACTCTGATTTCAAAATTTAATGTGATGTTATATAGTGACGGTATAGGAGAATTCCCCATCCTATTTTACAATATTTTATTTTAGCCGGCGACAAGAAGCAGACCCAAAAATGCGAGACGTTTCTATGGTGATCGGCAATCCGCCTGTCTGGACTTAAAAAATAAGAGATGCCTAGATTCAGCTGTGGCCATGTATAGGTTTATGCAGAAGTAGAAAATTTTTATATGTTACGAATTTTACAGTACACAGTTGACACAGTTCGGTGTTATATGAGACAACTGTAGGTCTGTGAGAAATGCCTGAAAGATTTTGTAGCTTTCCTTAACGATAGTGTATTAATCATTTTGTAGAAATTTAAATACTACAGTAACCAGACCCGTGTCACAAAACAGTCTGACGACCATTGTTAGGCATGAGATAGTTTGAATGTAATATAACATGACAAGGAGAGCTTTTAATGAATCCACCTATCACTCTTAATGCTTGATTTTGAATTTTATCGAGTTTAGATATATTTTTATTTGTACTACTATCATAAATAAAACTACCGTAGTCTTTACGACTTCTGATTAGTGAGAGATATAATTTACGTAGGTGTTTAATGTCAATACCCCAATTGCTGCCTGCTAACAATTTTAAAATATTTAACAATTTGGAGCACTTAGCAATAATTTCATTTATGTGCTTACTCCAAGTTAAACTTCTATCCAACCACATACCTAAGTATTTAATGCAGTCACTAGAAAGTAAAGGCTAATCATTTAAGCATACTAAAGGCAAATTCATCCTTCGACGTCTACTGAAGAAACATAATTTAGATTTGCTCGAAAATAAACTCAAACCAATTTCACTCAACAACATAACCATATCATTTAAAGCTTTCTGCATATACCTTTCACATATTTAAATGTTTTTATTGCTAATAAATAAGACAAAATCATCTGCATACTGTGAAACTACAACATTTTGCATTTGCTTTCATATTTTATGCGTTATAAGATTAAAAAGAAGGGGAGAGAAGGCATCACCCTGAGCTAAGCCCATACAGCTCTTTCTCATAAGTAAAGTGTTACAGTTATCTCTTGATTTAATTTTTAGATACCTTTCACTGAGAAACGATCACAAATATGAACACATTTTTGTACCAATCCTAAAACTGTCCATTATCTTTATTGCTGCATCAATCGACACATTGTTTTAAGCATTATCAATGTCAAGAAAACAGGCCACTGTGGGGATATTATTCGAGAATCCAATTTGAATGTTTGTTACCAAGCGAGATAATGCGTCCAGGCAAGAGTGAGATCTTCTAAATCCTACCGTAAAAGGAGAGAGAATTTTTTCTCTTTCGCAATGTCATTCCAAACGTCTGTCTAACATTACATGAAATATTTTACACAAGCACGATAATATTGAAATAGGTGATCGAGCTTTATATCCAAATCAATATTGTTACTAACTTTAGGTATGTGAAGGATTTGAATAATACGCCAATGCCAAGGGACATATCCATAATCAAACATTTTGATACATAATTTAAGCAGAAATGATTTAGAGTTATCTGGTAAATGATAAATCATGGAATAAGTGACCCCATCTTCACCTGGCGACGTGTCTATCTTTTTCAAACAACTATCTAGCTCAAGAATAGAAAAATTAGATTCCAATAAAAGATTTTTGGACAAAAACGAAGGCATAGAATACTTAAATTTTCTGGAATGGGGTTTCGATGAAAATTTACTAAAGCTAACCTGCGTTGTGCTATGATTTTACATAATTAGGATTGAGGCTTATAACAAATAATATAAAAAGGGATATTATTATCAGCTGATTTGTTAATTTGATTAAGAAAAAAATAATACATTTCTCGCGTCGTCTCAAATCTATCTTCTAATCTGTTAGAAAAGGTTTCGGAAAGTTCTTTCTTATAATCAGTCCAGTTGGCTTTTTTAATGTTCCGTTTCTTTACCTTGTAAAAGTTATTAGGGATATCTACAGGTATTTTAAGTTCTAATTAATCACTACCTAAAGATTCGTTCCTCACTGACCAATCAAATTCGATCCACACATCCATAGAAACAAAAGATACATCAGATGAAGATATTTGTACAATACCATTGACCATTTTTAGCTTGGTGGCCGTGCCATTATTAAGCGACATAAAACCGTTTTCCATAGCTGCATCCCTGATTTGTATGCCTCGCGTATCAGTTCGCGTTGACCAATCAGAGTGATGTCCGTTAAAGTCACCTGCAATTATTGTTTTCGTCCTAAAATATGAAAATAATTGTTCCCAATCTAATTAATAGAATCAGGCGTTACTTTGCGGAAGTCCATTATATTAAAGTTGACAAAAATACTTTGCGTACATCCGCGCGATATATTTTTTTATCGCGCGGATGTGCCCAAAGTAACTTTATGTTACTAATTTTAATGTTCCCAATCTGTCGGTAAGGTATGCACAGAAGATGGACAGTAAACAGATACGATATTTTCTACATATTTACAGTTAGTAAGTTTTACACAGATTATTTCTATGCCTGAATTGTTAGTACTAATTAAATTTAGATGCGATATAATCGATTTATGAACTACTAACGCTACACCTCCATAGGAATCATTTCTGTCTTTTCTTAAGTTTTTTTAAGTTGACATCTAACATTCATCTCCGTTAACTTCTTACAACTCATCAAAAGTAAAGCATCTTTTTTTTTTGCTTGAACTGAATAAGCACTTTATATGGACTCTTATACTTAATTCTAGTAATATTCCTGATATTTTGTGTTTGAAGTAATTTTGAAAGCTCCATTTGTTTTGGTAAATTTTACTATGATGTTACACACACTTCATAGTATTCTAAATCTTCCACAGTGGTTCTCTCATTGTTATGTTGCTCATCACTTTCTTGAGGAACCCTCTCAATCCGTTTAGATTTTCTTTTAGTAACGGTTGTAAATTCCTCGTCTTCATTGTCTTCATCTTCTCTTGTTTTCCTTTTTATTACACACTTTTGCTTAGTCTCTAAGGACCTATCACCTTCTAATTATGTTGTTCCGGGCATCTCACAAGTCACTAACTCAGAATCACTGATATCTTCATCTTAATTATTAGATTCCATTTCTGAAAGAATTATAAGAAATCCCCTAATTATTTACGTGGTAGAGCCATGCTGCAGCTATATTAGTAGTATAGTTGTAGCACGAATCGGTCGGCTCGACTGGGGAAGGACCACGTTCTCACAGAATACCAGCGTAAAATAGCAGCTTAAAACTGCTGTGTTTCGTATGGTGAGTGTAGAGAACCGGAGACCCTTTTTACTGGAAAAGGGGCATTCCTTCTTAGTCCTCACGGGTGACAACGCATCTGCATTTTGATTCGCAAGCGAGGATAGATGTAGATGTCTAAGGGCCACAGCAACCACTTACCATCAGGTGGACTGTGTGCTCGTTTGTCACCCTATCCTATAAAAAAAATCAAAATTCGTGTTTATAAAGTTTTGACAAAATATCTTGGAGCTTATTTCTTGCGTGCCGACTTGTGCCGACCTGTCATTCAAAATCGGTTACAGAGTCACGAAAATTGGTATCCTTTTCTATCTTGCATTTTTGCCATATGGAATTTTTTTCTCCCTTACAAACTATCTCGGTCTATACGCCTGGATATTCTAAGTCTATGGACTAAATTTATGTAAAATTGTATGTTCCCTCTATGCATACGTATGTATGTAGTTACTCTAAAGTGTACTCTAAGTTAAATGTTATTTATGGTCAACCTATTTTTATTGAATGCTTAATAATTTGAAAGAGGTGTAAAAGCCTGGCCACTTTTTTAAACATAGTATGAAATTTAAATTTCGATCAAAATATAAAATATTCTTGTTTGTATTTTGTTCATTACAAAGTTTGGATCTAGTGTAACTGGAATATTGGCAAGTCAGTTTAAGAAATTCTGTTATATTTTTTAAGTTCATAGAAAATATTTAAAAATGCGTGAGTGTATATCCATACATGCAGGACAGGCAGGAGTCCAGATAGGAAATGCGTGCTGGGAGTTATATTGTTTGGAACATGGAATCCAACCAGATGGACAAATGCCATCAGACAAGACTGTCGGCGGTGGAGACGATTCGTTTAACACCTTTTTTAGTGAAACAGGAGCTGGAAAGCACGTTCCTAGAGCAGTGTTCATAGATTTAGAACCTACGGTAGTGGATGAAGTTCGTACTGGTACATATCGCCAGTTATTTCACCCTGAGCAGCTCATAACAGGGAAAGAAGATGCTGCTAATAATTACGCAAGAGGTCATTATACCATTGGCAAGGAAATAGTAGATCTCGTTTTGGACAGAGTGCGTAAATTAGCTGATCAATGTACAGGTTTACAAGGTTTCTTAATTTTCCATTCTTTTGGCGGTGGTACTGGCTCAGGTTTTGCTTCACTACTTATGGAGAGATTGTCGGTAGATTACGGTAAGAAGTCAAAGTTAGAATTTGCTATATACCCTGCTCCTCAGATCTCAACAGCCGTAGTAGAACCTTACAATTCTATTCTTACAACTCACACTACTTTAGAACACTCAGATGCCGCGTTTATGGTAGACAATGAAGCTATTTACGACATCTGTCGTCGAAATTTGGATATCGAGAGACCTACATACACCAACTTAAATCGCCTTATTGGTCAAATCGTCTCATCAATAACTGCATCTCTCAGATTTGATGGAGCTCTAAATGTCGATTTGACAGAATTTCAAACCAATTTGGTGCCATACCCACGGATTCATTTCCCACTGGTTACTTACGCACCTGTTATTTCCGCTGAAAAAGCTTATCACGAACAACTGTCTGTAGCAGAGATTACAAACGCTTGTTTTGAACCCGCTAACCAGATGGTTAAATGCGACCCGCGACATGGAAAATACATGGCATGTTGTATGCTGTACAGAGGCGATGTGGTACCTAAAGATGTAAATGCTGCGATTGGGACGATAAAAACCAAACGAACAATACAGTTTGTGGATTGGTGTCCCACCGGGTTTAAAGTTGGCATTAACTATCAACCGCCAACTGTGGTTCCGGGGGGTGATTTAGCAAAAGTACAGCGAGCAGTGTGCATGCTCTCTAACACTACCGCTATTGCAGAAGCTTGGTCTCGGCTTAATCATAAATTCGATTTGATGTACGCTAAACGTGCATTTGTTCACTGGTATGTAGGTGAAGGAATGGAAGAAGGAGAGTTCTCTGAAGCTCGAGAGGACTTAGCAGCACTTGAAAAAGACTACGAGGAAGTTGGCATGGATTCCGGTGAAGGGGAAGGTGAAGGCGGAGAAGAATATTAATTGTGCTTTTTATGAATTTATTTTTAGGATTATTTTCTTTCATTAGGTCATAATAAATAATTTTAGTTCCATAACTTTTCAGAAATATTAGGTCTATTTGTAATAAATTTACAAGTTATGTGGCTGTATTTTTATTTATGTCAAATCCTTTTTAACGACATTACGTAGCAATGTATTCTTGCATTTTACAAAACCTTGTAAGAGACCAATAGATATTCTTTTAAAAGCTCATTAAGTAATATAAATAATATATTAGAGTTACTAGCTTCTGCCCGCGACCATAGAAGTATTAGGCTAATTACTCTAAGCCCGCGACTTCGTACGCGGATCCTGTTGCTTATGCCAGCGACAACGGGGTCGTCAAAATCGAAGATCTGAAACGTCTGATGTTGAGAGCCCGGGGACGGGAAAACAACGTGATTCGCGAGACGATTCGAGACGTTCTAGATCTTTCATTTTTGTAAGTCAACAGGAAAAGCCCATCAGACTAAACATTTGCTAAGACGTCATTCCTATATATGTTATAGTGTCGCTGGGCTTTGGATGAAGTGTAACTCCTTGTGTGTTATTAATATATTGGTAATATTGTTTAGATCACGTTTACATGAGGCTTAAGTACTTATAGCACAAAAATACTTCAGCGCAAAGCTTCCGGGTAAACTATGTTGAAAGTTGACCCGTCCGGCACGTGAACATAAAGATTTCTAGAACTGCTAACCCGGGAAAGAGCGACATACAACTGACTATGCGAGAAACAACTGACACCGAGATCTACTCCAGCAACACGAAAAGTCTGCCCTTGAGCCTTATTGTCATTGCATAACACAATGATACTGGGAATTGCGTTCTTTTAAATTGGAATGGAAAATTATTTGGTATTATGGGAATTCTGGGAATAAAGACGGTTTCTCCTGCACCGCAACCTGTTAAAATTTGAGCCTCGATTATATTTTGTTACAACTGGGTTACTTTTAGCCGAGTTCTATTGCAAAGTTGTGGTGGTCTTAAATTTCGGAGCAGAATAATCGGAATGCCAATTTTTAAACAAATATCATAAGAAGGAAGTCCGGGCATATTTAAAGAATTTAAAAATTCTATCGGGTAATTAGTGGCTTCTTGTTCATCGACCATTCTATTTATTGAACTATAAACTTTGCTTTCCCCCTGTATATTCGACAGTATTTTGTTATTAATCTCAGATGCCTGGTCATTGCGAGGAGTTAAAATGGATCTTTCGCATAGATAAAAAATGTCCCTATTTAATATAATTGTTACGTCACCGTAAACCGATGATATAAGATGTGGTTGGGATTGCACTATACAACATAACTCAGGCGTCAGAATAAGTTTTCCTTGGTGTAGTTGTGGATAGGTACCTTCCCCAATCTTTAATAATTTATCAGAAAATTGACGATCATCCGGGTTATCTCCATTTCTCACTCGCATGTTTATAGTCAAATGTACCGATTGTATATCACGCCACAAATAAGAGCTTTTTAGGCAAGCCCTAACCTCATCAGCGCGGGTTCCCCGTGGTATTACCGGAAAGGTTTGTCGGAAATCACCACAAATTAAAACCGTGATACCGCCCATTGGTCGATCATTTTGTCTTATATCCCTTAAATTTCTGTCTACCGCTTCTACTCCTTTTCGGTGGGCCATCGTACATTCATCCCATATGATTAAATTACACTGACGTAATACCTTAGGTTTGTCGCTATTTCTTGAAATACTACAGGTTGGACTTTCCGTGCGATCAAAATCAATTGGTGTTTTAAACATAGTGTGAGCAGTTTTACCTCCTGGTAGCAATGTTGCAGCTATACCTGATGAAGCCCCGGCAAGAGCAATTTTACGCTGATTTCGAACATAAGCTAATATTAATTTAGTCAAAAAGGTTTTCCCAGTTCCTCCAGGTGCATCTAAAAACCATATTGTTCCCAAATTATTCTGAACACTCTCGCACACGCGATCATAGACTGAACGTTGTTCTGCAGTCATCATTGGGACACCGTTTTCTAATGTTGCCAGCAGTTCCATTGAGTTGTAACCAATCTCTGCAGAATATTCCCTATTGGTAACCTCTCCGACTGAGGTTGGTGTTAGCAAACCATATTCACAGAGTGATTTACCGCCTACTGCTGTTAAGTCTTCCCGAAGAGCTAATAAGCACAGATTTATGGCAAGATCACGGAAATTATTATTAGTTGCGCCTTCATCATTGTGAGATATATTCCGAAGAAAGTCTTCTGCAAATTTTTCTTTATATTTTTCCCATAATTGTACAGCATCTGACAAATTACTAAATGTGAGTAATGTCACAAATAAATGGCGTAACCGTCGTGGATTATCACTAACACAGGATTCTGCTAAAGCGTCATCCCAATTCTGATCATTTTCAAGCAAACGACGCGCTTGGCAAGCTGTATGATAAGTTGGATAAACAACATCGTCTACTTTTCTCAAATCTATAAATGATGTTGGTCCTCGCACTGTATGTAATAATAATCGCAAATAGAAACACTCAGCGTTGTTAGGATGAACGGTATACACTCTACCAAGAACATATTCTTTGAAAATACCTGACTCGCCATCTACAGGCCCGCCACGGCGTCTACGATTAAAGACACCTCGTTGCTTATCGTAGGTATAATACGATGGAACTTCCTCATACAAAAGAGATTTTGCAAAATCATCAGTTTGGCAAAGTTGAAAGAATGCTAATAAAGTTGTTTATCTAGGGTTCTATAATCGTTCTGTAACATTTTCGGCGTTGAACTCGCGAGATAATGTATGCCGTTCGCGGTCAGCTGTGAGACGTTATTCCCTCTCAGTGTAGGTTTCGGACTCGCGAGATAATGTATGCCGTTCGCGGTCAGCTGTGAGCCGCAATTCTCGTTGTGAAGCAGTTTCAGCTTCTCGGGATAACACATGTTGTTCTCGGTCAATGGTAAGCCTTAGCTCTCGTTGAGAAGAACTTTGAGACGCCAATCAATTATTGTCTGTCAATAAGGTCGAACACTCTGAACGTCTATACGCATCAACAGCCAAATATTGTATGAAGCTCGCACTTGGACCCCCCGCCTTTTTATACCTCCCGCCGTGAGCCGCGTCGAGCGCGGCGACCGTTACACAAAAATAATCCTTATATCATGATTCAGTATTCACGCGCGATGGCTTATTAGCGTATTTCATGTATAACTTTGGTGTTTCTATACCGATTTCTATGATTCTTTCTAATTGAATAGATAATAATGTTAACTTTTTTTAATTAGGGATGAGTGACAGTGTTATAAACGTAAGAGTAGACAAATATAATCAGAAAGCTCCGAACTGCTAAGCTATCGGGAGTTACACGTGTTATTGTGAGTCAACCATAAAAGATAGACATATGCTGTCGTGAGATATTTTTTATATAATTTTAAGGAGAACATTTCCGTTATACATGATTTCTGTGTAGTTTTAACCATTAAGGTGCAGCCTTACGCGACGGAAGCTTAAAAATGGAGTAATTTCTCCCGTTTCCCCAACATTTACCTTCACTACTCTGCTCCTATTAACTGTAACGTGATGAAAAGTATACTATAACCTGCCCAGGAGTATGAAGAATGATTGTACCAAGTTTCGTTAAAATCCGTCGAGTAGTTTTTGTTTCTATAACATACAGACAGACAGACAAATCGAATACCACCAGCGATTTTTCCGGACAGATACGACTTTTAGGGACCTTTAAGAAAAGAGGCTACGCCTTTTTAAAAGGCCGGCAACGCATCTGCGATTCTGGTGTTGCAGTTGTTCATGGACAGCGGTAGTCACCATCAGGTGAGCTGCATGCTCATTTGCCCCCACCTATAAAAAAATTCCGTACCGTGAGGCCGCGTTCAGACGACACGCGCCCGCTACGTGCACGCTACGTGCGTCAGCACCTGCGTCTTGCTTTGAAATTTGTTGCAGATAATTTGTCTTATTGCAAATCTAAACGTAGTGATTATATTCTCTTTGGGCAAATCAATAAATCTGAAATTGCATTTATCGACGTTCAACCGCACACGTCTCGCACACGCCACGCACCCGCGTCGTTCCCACTCCGCGCCGGGACCATGCTTGCCCGCGCTTTTTATACAATTTCAGATTTATTGATTTGTCATAAGACTCAAATTATATACAACAAATTTCAAAGCGAGTTAGACGTGGGTGCTGACGCACGTGGCGTACGCGTAGCGGGTGCGTGTCGTCGGAACGCGGCCTTACACCCATGCTCGCCACGCGCAAAGTTAGCGCACGCCTCGTGTCCGCTTATACAACTAGTGCAGTGATCTAGTGGCTTTAAAAGCACGCCCTTTTCCTCCACCGAAGAAATAAATGTTTCTTTGTCGATGTCATCCATTATTATTTAATTAAAAAACCTTCCAAGCCACTAAACTTGATCACAGTCAATACAACACTAGCCGAAGCGTGGGCGCAAGGCATAGCGGGGCAGGTGCAGCGTGTGTGCGGGGCGAGCGCGCGGCCAGTGCGAAGCGGGAACGAGGCGGCCGCGTGGCGTCTGCGAGGCGTGTGAAAAACGTTACGGCTGTAGAGAACGTGCAACTTGTTATTTTTTCCACCTTCATCTCTGGGCGGTAAGCACTTTATACATATTGTCCTTTTTTAAGAACACGGGGCGGTAATTATCAAAACATATTTTTTGCCAAGTCCAAGCCTTACAGTGTTAAAATTAATAGCTATTATACAAATTATTACAGCACTGATCTAAAATAATTCAAACTATATACACAGATATTTACATGGTCACATATGCGCATACATACATGCTAAATCCCAAAACAAGAATTTAATCTTAAAATCTTTAAAAATGATATTTCTTAATAATCAATCACAGCGCGAGGAGCTTGGCCCATCCGCTGTCGGCATGCTTCGATAAGCTATCTTTCACACACTTATGGCTACGCATAAGACTTTTTGTCGTATTCATTTGTAAACTTTATTCACGTTTGGGA